GGGGGAAGCTGCAGCAGGCGAGGCAGCACCCATGTTTCCTGGGAGACGCTCAGCTGATTCTTGGGCTGAGCAGGTCACTGATGCTGCGGGTCTGGAATGTAGGGGAAGGATCAGGAGTAGATGAAACTTGGAGAATCATCAGGCATAAATGGCGCTCAAAGCCGCAGGCCTGAGGCTGCAGAGAAGGGAGAGAGCCCTGGGGAGGACCCGCGACCCTGAAGGGAGGCTGGCCCTGCACTTCCCTCTGCGGAGGCAGCTCAGGTCGCCCCCCCCCCCAAGCAACCTCGGGTGGGGCGGCGTCTTAGACATAACATGGCTGCTGCGTGCCCCCTCGCCATGTCACCAGACGCGGGGCAGGTCTGTCCCTGTTCCTCAGGGCACTGGGTGTCGTGTGCGGGCTGAAGTGCAGACACTGCCTGGCTGCCCCCGGCGGGTGCTCCTGGGCCAGCAGGGGGCCGGGCACCGTTCGGACCCTGTCGTGCTGCCCGGGTGCCCTGCAGTGGAGGGGGCCCTGTCACGTGGTTTCATGTGGAAGCAGCATTTAAAATGCATCTTGAGGAATATTTCAAGAGGTCAGAAGTTGGCAATATTTTTCCTTAAAGGGGTAGATAAGACATGTGTTGGGTTTAAACCTCTGCATTTTTTAAATGAAAACTGAAATTATTAAATATTTTTAAAAAGATTTTATTTAGTCTTAGACTGAGGGAAAGAGAAAGAGAGGGAAACATCACTGTGTGGCTGCCTCTCATGTGCCCCCTGCTGGGGACCTGGCCCACAACCCAGGCCTGTGCCCTGAGTGGGACTTGAACCAGCGACCCTTTGGTTCACAGCCTGTGCTCAGTCCACTGAGCCACACCAGCCAGGGTGAGATTTTTTTTTTTGTAACACAAGTCTGCTGATGAGAAGACTGATCTTTATGGGAGAACATTTTGCAGCTCCTGGTTCAAAGTGTTCCTTGTCATCAAGATAGGTCACAAATGTCCAGCCGCTACTGCTGATCTAGGATGTGATTTTACCCATTTCATCTTTAAAAACGTGCCTTCCCACAAAGTATTTGTTTGATTTTCGCACCACTAGACACACAGAAAGGATTCTTCCCTCCGAAGCCCAAGATGCAGCAGGGGCTGGACCGGGCTGCCGGTCGCCCAACCTGCCGCCCCGCACCCAGGGCGCCCTCCGGCTGAGCAGCAGGGTCCCTCCCTCCCGGAGGGGCCCGTCCAGGCAGGCGGCATCTGCCGTGTCTCGTCATAGGAGCTTTAATGCACAGGGGCGGGAAGAGGTGGGTTTGCAGTTGTTTGCACGGGAAACAGTACAAGGATGGAGTCTGTGTCACACGCTCACGGCTGTGCACTGCTTCTGCCGCCCCGGGTGTGTGTGCGCGTGGGGACTCTTTCGTGGCTTCTGTCACGAAGGTGGTGGTTCTCATGAAATGCTGTAGATCAGTCAGTACATTGCCTTGTAAATACACTCAAAAAGCGTTGGGGTCTTAGTTCACACCCTAGACCAACACAAGGTCGAGATGGGTTGCATATCTCATGTAAAGGAAAAGCTCTGGAGGGTAATACGGAATAGCAGCTGTATAACTTTTTAATTAAGGCCTTGAGTCACCATAGCAGATAGAAAGACGATTAAAACAGAAAGCCAGGAGAGGTGCTGCCGAATCGTAATGATGTAATCGATACACAAAAAGGGTGTACACAGACAGAAAATAGGCGGAACAGGAGAAGCGAACAAAAGGGGAGAAGCCCCTAGCACTCAGTGGACTCGGACTCGGACTCGGGGGCCGTCCTTCCGGCGTCCGAGCTGCTGCCCAGCCTCGGGCTCGGGAACCCCCCTGGCTGTGTGCGCAGTGGTCCTGCTCTTGGGGAGTGCTTTTAGAGGGCTATTCAGTAATGTAATAAGAACCTTTAAAAAGCTCTTATGTCCAACTCTTAAGTTCCTGTCTCAAGATACTTGCCATCCAGCAGTGGAATCTGTAGAAGCTGGACAGGGCAGCAGCCGCTTGCTCAGCAAGAGGAATCGATCGAACTACCGAAACGCCAGCGGCAGAACTGGCTATTTGTGGCCGGAATGCTTCTCCTCCTTCAACATGTGTCTGTTTACACTTTCTCCTTTTTCTACAATGTGCTTATGCCATAATTTCTGATCACTTAAAAGTATAGGAAGATTGTCATGCCTGGGCCTCTCATGCTGTTGATTTGATGAGTAATTCTCCAACAATTCCTGGGTCTTCTATGCTTTGATTTTTGGCATTTTAAAATGTCGATAAATTTAGTGTTTATCCTTGTGTAACATGCGTCTGTGGATGAATCTTTATTGTTTTTTCTTTTCCCCCAAAGACCACTACTTACTGTACAATAGAGCTTTATCACAGTGATTCGAGGTGCTGTCTTTATCTTTATTAAATCATTGTGTCGAGTGTGTTTGGTCGATTTCTGGATTCCCCACGTCGTCACCTCGGTGCTTCTGTTTACGTTTGCACCTGCAGTCAGCCGGGCTCCGTGACAGACCTTCTGGCACAGCTCGTCCCCTCGCTGTTCTGCCTTAACATGTTTTCTCCTCCTTTTTCTTGGTTGCTTATTTTTCTGTATGAACTTCAGAGTTAATTACTTTCTTTAGTTAAAACTCTTGTAAGACTCGGAAGATGAATTTTAGTTCATTAAGACAAAAAGTGGAAAGATCATAAGAAAATTCGAAAGAGAAGTGGCAAACAGGAAACGAACATTTGTAACTCACATTGTAGAGAAAGCGTTAATTCCTTCAGCGTGTAGATCAGTAAGACATGGAGAAGTGCCCCGGAACACGGAGAGGAAGGCCGCAGAAGCTGTGACCGAGTTGGCAAGACCGTCGGTGTAACCGGCCAGAGAAGACGGTGAAAGCCCACCGAGGGCTCGAGCTCTGGAGGGGCCAGTCCCCATAGACAACGGGAGTCCGGGCACAGCACGAGGGGCGCAGGCGGGTGGGTCCCAGGACACGGGCCCTCGGTGGGTGGAAGGGACGGCGTGGGTTCGGGCGGGTGTTGGCGAGGCAGACGCGGAGAGCAGAGGGCGCCAAGGAGACGGAAGGGAGACCTGACGGGACAACCTGCTGGGTTCCCCACTTTTACCAGCGAGGGGCGGGGACGGGAAAATGCAGTCCGTGGCTAGGAGACCGATTGGTGAGAAGCAAACCCAGGAAGAACAGAGACAAAGCAGTTACCAGACAAGGACACAGGAGCATGTTGTACAATTTGCTCCAGGATTCAAAGAACGTCGTAAACGTAATCTGCACAAAAACGGGGGAACGAGAACCGGCCGAGGGAACTTCCGGAGCCAGAGTCGCCGTCTGTGCACAGTGAGGCGTCGGCTGGGTGGGCTGAGCAGCAGGGTTACACCAAGTCCCCTGATGTCCTCGGACCTGCACGGCTACCATGGAGGGACACACTGGCTGTTCCGGGGGGCGGGGGGGGGCTTTGTTCTCTGGGACCACACTGTCTCGGGCTTGGGAAGGACCAGGAGCTTTGTCAGAATAACCAGTCAACTTCCCAAGCTTTCTGGGGCCTCTGATGGGTCCACCCCCGACCAGCAGACCCCTGGACAGGCCTGTGTGGTCGCCCACCCTTCTGGCTCACCTCCGCCTTCACTGGTTTGTCCCTCCCCTTGCCTGTCCCTTCCCCGGGCACGTGGGGGTGCGCCTGCAGCTCCCTGGAGAAGCTGTCGCCTCTGGGGAAGCAAGCAGGCTCGTGCTCCTAGTAACCTCATGCAGACATCGTTCTGTCCAATCCGTCTAACTCCCTCCGCTTCCCTCCCTCATTCATAACTAGCTGCCTGCGTGCACACCCTGCCCTGTGGCGGGGAAGGGCCCGCCCCCTCGTGCTCCTGCGCTGGAAGGGTCCTCACTGAAGGGACCACATTCTGCCACCCTGAAGCTACCCTTTTGGGATATTGATTTTAAGCTGTTTATTAAGAAACAAGAGACCTGGAGAGAACTTTGACCCCCTCTCCTTTCTCGTCCAAGTGGTTAGAGAAACGCTTCCACAGGGAAGATGCAGCCTTAGCCCAACTTGACCTCAGTGTGGTCGGCGAGTGGGCCTCCGGCAGGGGCCTGCCAGCGGGGCAGCCCTGTGTTGTCCCGTGGTCCCTGGGTCACCCAGCCAGGGTTTTCCTGCCGCGTTCTCCCTCAGCCGCCTGTGAACCGCCCGTTCTCCCTCCTGAGACGCTGTCCCCCTCCCCCACCCACTCTCCTTCCTCCCAAACCCCGTTGTGTCCCCATTGTGTTCCCAGCGTTGCCGCGGTGTCTGGGGGTTTTTGCGGAGAGTTCGTGCCCGTGGGAGTCGTCGTCCGTCCCCCCCCCGCCCCCCCCCCGCGCACGCATCGCCCTTGGACTTCCTCCCGTCACTCTGTCTCTGCCCGTCTGCTCACCAGCCCGGCCGGAAGAAGTCAGGACGTGGAAGGGAGAGTGTTGGTGTTTTTCAGCTGCCGCACAAGCAGCGTCTGAGCGCGAAGTGCCACACAAGCGAGTGCTTGCCTCGCAACTCGGAGAAGTCCCTGCATTCCCGAGTGTCCCAGGGTTCCACTGACAAGGAAAATCTGCAAAGACAGTTCAAGCATTTTTGACAAAAGCAGCCAACTGTATTAAATTTTATGTGATCTATTACAGTCAGTTGTAAAATACATCTTTTTAAAATTCTTAATATTTTAATGTTTTTATTAGCATTGAGGTGAGTTAAGAATTGCTGGGAGAACCTACATAATTGAGAGATTGGACTAGATTTTAAGATCCTTTAGAATCCCATGATTGTACAGTTTCTGAGATGTTTAAGGGTTCCGTAATCTCCAAGCGGATTTAATTTGCTAGGAATGAAGAGGTGAAACAATGAACAATTGAGTATTTAGTTCATTTTCTGTGTTGGGTAGGACATGACTTGTTAATACTTAATTGTGTACTTAAAAGTGAAATTACAGTTAATTTCTAAATTCTACTTAGATCTTTGCCATTAAAATCTTTTTTTAATGTTTCAGTGAATAACCCTATACCTTCCAATTTGAAATCAGAAGCAAAAAAGGCTGCTAAAATTCTGAGAGAATTCACAGAAATAACCTCCAGAAATGGACCTGATAAGATCATTCCTGGTAGGTAACCAAGATGTGCACTGTTCCTTGCCCAACTGTTTTGTGTTCTAACTTGGGTTTTGCCTTCCTTGACTTCAGGCTGTCGGACCCCTGAGGGCAGCCAGTCCTCGGACCACCTCCTTCTCTTGGTGGGTCTTCCTCTCCCCGCTCCCTCCCCCTCCCCTGTCTCACCACCCAGCTGCCCCCCCCAGCACCCTGTGCCCTCCACCTGGGCCTTTACCTGCACTCACCTGTCTTTGTCCTCCATTTCTGAGGACTTTGCAAGCTCCCCTTGCAAACAAACACACTAGCTAATCTCAGAAACAAATTTTAATTTTTGTGTTTCCTCTTTCTATCTATTTACCGTTCAGAGTGATTTAGGAGGTCATTAATCAATAATTCTCAAAACATCTGCACATCAGTATTTCTGGGCCATAAAAATAACTCCCTCAAACCTGCTGAATCAGACCCTCCCCCAAGCCAGTGTGGCCAGGGTGCAGGTTTTTAACGCCTTCCTCGTGCGATTCTTACACAGTCAGGCCTGTGCCTCAGACCTGGTCCCAGGTGAGCCGCTGGCAGGAGACGCACATGCAGACCAGGCCGGGTGGGCGGTGTGGCCGACGAGTCCCCCTCGGGACCCCCAATGACCGCAGGGCCCGCCTCTGCTCCTGCGTTGAAGAAGCCAGCTCAGAGTCCCAAGCCACATTTTCTGACGTTATTTAACAGAACTTTAAATGCCCAAACCTTTTAAAATTTGTTGTTTTCGTGATATTAATGATATTAATTGTGGTTTGGGTCCAGCCACCTTAAGAAAACATGGCTTTGGAACCCCTGCTACTCCCCGCACGGTGGGGGCTCCCTGGAAATGCAGGTCCCCGGGGTGCTCCGGACTGACTGCGTCCGCATTTTCACAGGCTCTGCAGGGACGTGCGTGCACAGGCAGGGGTGAGAGCACTCCTTTAGGACTTGAAGGCTCAACCAGAAAGACTGAATTTTTGGTAACACTGCTCCAGAGCATGACACATGTTCATCGTAAACACATGCTTTTGCTGTGTCTGTGTTTCTAAATAGCAGTGAGACTGCCGTGTGGGATGCTGAGGGAGATTGCGGACGGAGGCGGTAAACGTAGAACATCGCTCGCAACCTTGTTACAATGTATTTATGACATTTTCAAGTGCGAAACTAAGCTGCGCTTCGGTGGACGGCCACCTAGGAAGCCGGCTTTAATGAATGACGAACCGCCCCACAGCTGTCCTGCACAGAAAGGTCTTTGTGCTCTCTGATGAAGTGTCTCAGAGAGGATGCATTAATGCGCTGATTCAAATCTGGAAGTGATGTGCGTGACTATGTCAGAAGTTCAGTGTTTTTCTGGGGACACCTACAAAACCTTTTTCGTGCATTTGAACACAGCCTCTGGTTTGACGTCCCTGACAGAACATTTAGCTGAAGTGATTATGTTAAATTATGTTAAAAATAAAATTGAGGCTCTAAAATGATTCCACCGTTTAGGTTTTCAGTGTTATTTGAAACACATAGTATTGTGTAAATAAATCCACAGAACAGTGAGGCTCTTTGTGCATGTACTTCCCTGACATGTGAATAAACCACTATTTTATACACTGAATCCTATTTCCAGGGCACTCGAATAATATAGCAGACCGTCTTATAAAGCTGAAAATGCCTTAAAGGGGCAAAACCACTTAATTTTCTGTTTCTGAGTCTGGATTTTCACATTCGTAGAAGGTGAACTGCGTAGCCTCAAGGTCAAAGTTGCGGCGCCAGGTCATTTCAAGCTTTCTCCTTAACACAAAGAAATCACAATTTCTTTGAAAATACTAACTTGTTATTTAAATTACGAATTGTGTGCGTCTGCAAAGCAACACGAAAGCCCGTGGGAGCCACCCCGCCCACCGGTCCCAGGACTAGTTTCATCCGAGGCTCCAAGACACCACTGGGCTTCGTGTGAGAACCAGGAGGCAGCCCAGCACACGTGTGTGTGTGCGCGTGTGTGCACGTGTGTACGGAATCTGCTTGCACCTGCTGACCTGTCCCTGTCTTTGACCCCGGCAGCCCACGTGATCGCTAAAGCCAAGGGCCTGGCGGTCCTGTCGGTGATCAAGGCGGGGTTCCTGGTGACCGCCCGAGGAGGCAGCGGCGTCGTGCTGGCGCGTCTTCCCGACGGAAGTGAGTGGCGCTCCTTCAGGTGGGAGGCGGGGACTCCTCACCCCCCTCGTCCGGTCTCTGTTCGCACCTGCTCCACACGGAGAGTGACGGGCTTCCCACGCCCCAGACGACCGCCCCCAGGGGCCCCGGCGGCGCCTGGGTGTCCGCCCAGCGAGGGCGGCGGCCGCAGCTCTCTGCTCCTCCGAGGCGCCAGACGGGACTCGGGTGGGCCTGGCTCTGTCCGGCACACACCCGCGGACCTTTCACGGGGCAGACACCAAACATGACAGAACTCGCATTCTGCTGTTAAATACGAGTTCTTGCTCCTCAACATCGTGGTGCCAGGGTTTTCTTCTGTTCCATGCAGTTTCAGGAGGAAGTGGGGGCCGTCAGGACACTTCCCCAGGCTCCTACGGGAGTTGCTTTAACAGACGTCCCTGGCGCAGAATCATGTGGAGGTTGATGTGATTTTGTTCCATGTTCTGCCATGAAATCTAATACTTGGTTTTTCAGAGATGAAATCAAAGTATATTTGCCTCGAATCCAAAGAACCAGCATTTATAGTAATATTTATGTTTATTTTTCTAAAGATTTTATTTATTTATTTTAGAGAGCAGGAGGAAGGGAGAAAGAGAGGGAGAGAAACATCAGTGTGTGGTTGCCACTCAAGCGCCCCTTACTGGGGAGCTGGCCCGCAACCCAGGCGTGTGCCCTGACTGGGAATCGAACCAGCGACCCTTTGGTTCCCAGGCCTGTGCTCAATCCACTGAGCCACACCAGCCGGGGCTATAGTAATATTTAAAATGTATATAGGTGTGCTCTGACCAGCTGAAATGCTTTTGTACCAGTTTGACACTTGCTGTTCAGTCACATAAGTGAACACGTCTTTGTGCAAAGACTACTCTTCGTTAGACGCCCTGTGGGACATTCGCTGACGAGAGCCGTGTCCAGGTGTCTGTGGGGCGCGGCCTTGGACCGGCAGTGCTGGGCCCACGGCTCCCCGGGAGGCGTCCCCAGAGGAGGGAGAGTCTCTCCAAAGCTGGGGCTCCGCTCTCAGGGTTCCGTCCCCAGCTGTGACGCAAAAATGACAGAACTGTCTTCATCTCAAGCACTGCCTGAGTGTTTATGGGCGGACCTCCCAGCTGCACAACCAGAGTGGGGGCACGTCCAGAGGGCGTCCCCGCCAGGCAAGCCCGCACCCGTGGGAAGGCCTCGGCCCAGTGGGTCCCTCGGCCCTGGACAGGGCAGCCCACACAGGTGCAGGAGCCCTCCGCCCTGGGGTTGCTCCCCGAGCCCCAGGGGGCCTTCCTCCTGGGGTAGAGACCCACATCCCCCCTACCCTGCCCAGTAGCCCTGGCTCTGGGTCATTTCAGAGCTGCCCAGAGGAGGCACAGGACACCCCCGGGTCCCTGCTGGGTGGGGACAGGGCCAGTTCCTCACACAGGAAATGGGAAGTCACTTTGGTGTCACAGACACTGACTTCTGTGATCAGAACTCCTCTAACCCGGGCAGGTCGGTTCTGGACCCACCCGAGCAACACTCACCGTCTGCCTTTCAAATTTTTTAAATTAAAAATTATGTATAAAGAGCAATATAAAGAACATTTTAAAACGTAGAGGAAAATGCCCATTTTTCGTTATTTTGAAGAGAAGCACACTCACTCCCTCTTAGCACCTCCCCTTCGACTCCGCCGTGCTGGTGTCGGGGGGAGTAACTGTTTCTCTCCTCCAGAGTGGTCGGCGCCCTCGGCCATCGGCATCGCGGGGCTCGGCGGGGGATTCGAGGTGGGAATCGAGGTGAGTGGCAGGCGTTGCACACACACCGTCTCCTCTTCTCCCAGAGCACCGACACCGAGCGCGTGACCGGGAGAGAGTTCCTCCCGCTCCCCCTTCGCCCCCCGGGGACGCGGCTCCCTTGGCCCTCCCTGCTGTCTGCCCGAAACCCTCCCTCCCTCCATCCAGTGTTGCCTTCTCCTCACTCCCCTCTCTCTGGGAGCGGAACGCGCTTCGTTCACTGTGTTCCCGTCTTCGGCACATCCGCAGGGCGGACGGGCTCCAGTCTGGCCTGCACTTGGCGGTTCACGGCTTACCTCTCTCCTCGGTGGGCTCAGCTAGTGCGCGGGCTGACGCTGCATCGGCGTCCAACACTCAGGTTACTTCAGGTTCACCAGATGGACGACTCAGCTCCTCACCGTTGAGGCTCCTTCTGGGGTGGGCCAGGAGCTGCACTCGGGCGCTGCTTTGCCGGCTCCGAGGCGCGGGGACCACCCCCCACACACGAGGGTCTTCCCTCTGCTACCTCATCGCTCGCCTGACGTCCCGACACCCTCAGACCCTTTTCTCCCCAATTCCAGTCCTTTCTTCCCGGGCGGCCGTCTGCGGATTCCGGCAGCCGCACCGGGAGAGGTGTCTCGCTGACTCCTCCTTCCTCTTGACTGGCGTCTTTTCCCGCTGCTGCAGGAGTCTGTTATAACAAGAGGAACGCGGTTCAGTGTTGTGGGTTGGGACCGCCGCTTCGTTGTGTTGTCCACCAGGCCCAAACCTGCAGCAGTGCCGCCCGCAGACAGGACTGTGCTTCCCCACCTCCCCGCCCGCCCTCCGGCCATGGGGGGGGAGGTCTGGGGGCCCCCGTCCACGCCCCTCAGACTCCACGAGAGGCTGGAGTGGGCTTCGGGGTCCGTGTCAAAGGACATTCACCTCTGAGTGGTGAGACACCAAGTAACAGCGGCGTCAGTAAAGCTAACGCAGCAAAGAGGAACGCGAGCGTCTCCGCCACGAGTCTTTGGAAACTGGATTTGGGGCCACAGCGCCCGTCAGCAGCCTCCTCGGAAGACGAGTGCATGTAAAGCGTACACCCGTCCTCCAGTAAACACGACAGAAAGGTTCAAGGTGAACGTTCTGTAGGGTGAGGTGCTTGGCTGTCCCCCCAAAGCAAGGGGGCCCGCAGTCTGAGCTGCAGGAGCCGACGGCGGGCCCACCCTGTCCAGCCCTGTCCAGCCGGCCCCTGCCCGTGACTCTGCCCTCGCCGACAGTGCCCCTGAGCAGGAATCACCTGTAGCGGCGGCAGCCACCGAGACGACAGATGGCGTCAGACGTGGGTCCGTGTCGCGCAGCCACCCTGTCTCTCGTTCGACGGCAGCTACGTCCCATCAGCCACTGCTCCGTTCTCACTGGGGGGCGCTGCCACAGCGGGCGAGTCTGCGGAGCAGGCGCTTTCTCCGCCCCACGTGCCTTGCGGGTTCCCATCCCCCATACTCGTTGCTTTTCCTTAGGGAATGGGGGGGCGGTCCCTCGGTAACGGCAGCCCTGTGTGCCCCTGGTGTTCTGAGCCTCCGTGGCGTGAACCGAAGTGCACCGTGCCGTGCACTGGTGCCGGCCCGCGGCCCTGCCGGTGGGGAAGGGTCAGCGGGCACCAGCACGCCCAGGCCAGGTGGGCCCCTCTCCTGCCTGCCTTCTTTGGCTTGGTTTTCGGGTGTATTTAGTGGCAGGAAGTCCTTTCCGTGTCTCCCACCCACCCCCGTTTGGCCTGCTCTGGTTCTGTGACGGTTCACGTAGCCCCACTAACCCTCTGTCACCAGCTGCGGTGCGTGGCGGTGCAGGGGACCACCGCAGGGGATGCAGGAAGCCCCCAGCAAGTCCCAGCGGAGCTCAGGTGGGCTGTGGTTCGCCCTCATCAGGGGAGATACTGGTGACTTACGTCCTCACGTCAAAGTAAAAGTGTGACTCTCACGTTCCTTCTCTGTCGACACTGCAGGGCTTGCTGCAGTATATACAGTAGATTCCAGTTTTAATCTGCATGTATTTTAAACAATGTTTAAACAGAATTGTTTTCAAATAGATGGGTTTCTGCATTTTAGGTCTCCGATCTGGTTATAATCTTGAACTACAGCCGAGCAGTAGAAGCTTTTGCGAAAGGCGGTAACCTGACCCTTGGAGGGAACTTCACTGTGGCAGTTGGGCCCCTGGGGAGGTGAGTTCTGTCGAGTACATTTGACCAGTGGGGGGTAGAAGCGTTTTAAAAACTATATATTGTTTAAAAATCTATACATTGTTATGCATTAAGAGGAAACTTGAGTCCAAGTGAAACAATGTTATCATTTCTATACTCACGGGAGGTTTGAGGTTGCTTGCCAATAAGAAATTTACAAAACATAGCCAGTGTGTTAAAATGAGAAGCTTTGCACACACACAACAAAGTTAACATTCTGAAATGCAAGCCACGCTGTCTACTGGAAGTGAATACAGAATTTACATCAAGCTTTGAAGGAGCCAAAGCAAGTTGAATTTAAGTACCTGGTAGCGGGACCCATTGATCAGGAGAGAAAAGGCTTTTTTTCAAACTAAATTATGAAAAATTGAAATGGAAGTGCTTTACTGAAGTGTTGTTTAAAACACAGTGGGTTTCTCTTCTCTGTGAATGAAGTACTACTCACATTTGTTGAGCAATTTAGAAATATTTTAAACCCAGGCTGTTCACAGAAGTTACACAGTAAAATCTAAGTTCCATGAAAATACTCGGGGTGCAGCGAATCCACAGTCTCGTACCCTGGAGATGTGGTTCCCTGTTTAGGGAAAGGGCCACAGAGGGAAAAACACAAGCCCCGCCCCCCCTTGGACGTGGCCCCGCCCCCCACCGCCCCCCCAGACTCCCCAGACTTTGTGCTCCCCAGACCTGCGCTTCCCCGCCCCACCTCCCACCCAGGAGGTCAGGCCAGCAGGGAGTGAAAGGCTGGGCCCCCCGAAGTCAGTCTGTGGGTCAGAAGTCCAGCGCTCTTCAGAGAGGGGTCTCCAGGTGCAGCGCCTCTCACGAAGCCTGTTTTGCAGGAATCTGGAAGGAAACGTGGCCTTAAGAAGCTCTGCTGCCGTCTTCACGTATTGCAAGTCCAGAGGGCTCTTTGCCGGCATAAGTTTAGAAGGCAGCTACTTGATTGAAAGGAAAGAAACCAATCGAAAGTGAGTGCAAGCCAACTAATTTTCACTGATGTAAGAAACTGTTAGGAGGAAACAATACTTTATAAGTTTACATGGGAGTTCTCATGCATTTGCAGAGTAGTACCTTTGTATATTCTTTTCTCAAATCAGCATGTGGCTCTGGGTGTACATTTCATTTAAAAATTCAATGAGAAGTAATTCTATGTACCTATAGAAAGTTTAGAAAACACAAAAAATTAAATGGGGTGGAAAACTTTTTACCCCTTAAAGATGATTCGCGTTCTGCATTGTTGCCTCCCAACATTTTCTAAGCATAATTTTCTTTTGTTTTGCCATATGTGATTGTATCATAATGTAACTGGAAAAGACACCGGCATTCGGGCTGCCTGTCACTACCAAACCCAATAAGCAATGACAGCGATTGAATCTTTTATGGGCGCTTTATTCAGATGGCCGGCGATCCGAGAAGATGGCGGGTTCATACCCTAACAAACCATCTGCCCTTCTCTTTCCTGGCCAGATCTTTTATAAGGGGGTGGGGGAGGAGGGCTTTGAGGTTCAGAAGCTGCAGCATTCCTGTCCGGGGCAGTTGGCTGTTCCCAAGGGGGAGGGGTGGTCGTCTGCTCTCCCTGGAACAAAGGTTCGCATGTCCCCAGGCGGTAATCTTCTACCAGGGCCCCAGGAGGTCCCCTGCTTTTCCCGGGAGCCAGGATGGGCCTTATCTGCAGTTTCTGAAACAAAAGCTTAACATACACATGACTTGCTAGACTCATAACTTTTCACCTTAAGCTAAAATTTTCCAAGTCTTGAGTCCCCTATCAATAAGATTCCATCCTAAACCCTATTTTCCCACTAACACTACAAGCACCATAAATGCAAGGTAGTGGCTACGTGGTGTTCTGCTGGTCAGACGTGTCATGTCAGGCACATTTCTCAAGCATCTCGAGGGGCGTGCCAGTCACAGCTCCTGGGTCCATCAGAACGTTTCCCACCGTGAGAGGTTTCCTGCGATCACGCTCTTTCTTCCCCAAAGTAGAGGCCACTTTTGACTTTAAAAAAACACAGACTTGGATGTACCCTAACAGGCCAAGAGGAGCTTCCGCTTTAAACGGGCATCTGGTTGATTTCCCCAAAGTGGCCCTTGCAGTTTCCTCTAAAACGTGTGCGTGGCACCGAAAAAGGTGGAGAGCTGGAACTTGAGGGACCTTCTTCTGGAACCTGGCAGGAGTTCCTCCAGCCGCGAGCCTGCCGGAGCCGACAGGCCGGCTCACAGCAGGCAGACCCCCGCGCCCCCCGCCCCCTGTAACAGAGGAGTGGCAGTCCACGCAGGACTCAGCAGCAGGGCGATAACCTGGAATGTAAACTAGAAAGTGGGAGGGATGGGGGAAGACTAGGTATATGACGCTAACTCTTCATCATAGAAAGTCAAGGGAGATGTTTCTACTTCTGCTCTTACAAATTTGAGAAGTACACGCTAAGAATGCATTTAGGAAGTTCCGATTTCAGCCCTTGGAAGACTTTCCAAAGTTCGCCTGAATTCTGGAGAAACGAAAACAAACATGCCTAACCAACTGCAGGGCGTCCACACACGCAAGGCGAATCTCACCGGATTTCGAAGCACACATGCATCTGAAGGAACTACAAAGGCCTATGTGTTGGCACAAAGCCTCGGGTTGGGGTTACTGAGAAAGTTCAAAACTTAAACCTGTGAAAGTGCGTGTGCGTGGAGGTGGGTTTGCAAAAGCGTGGATGTGCACGTGCAGTGGGACCTCGGTTCTCGAACCTGATTTGTTCCGGAAACTGCTCGGGAAGCAGTTTGTTCGAGAACTGAATCTCCTTGTCTGTCGCCTGAGGGACACTTACGCGTCGGCACGAAAGGGTTGTCGTGGAGAGTCGAGACCCGGAGTTTTGTCAGGCAGCAGACACACTTTTTCCGTGAACAGCTTGGCTGAGAACCGAAGTGTTCGAGAACCAAGACGCTCCAGAGCCGAGGTTTGACTGCGTGTGTGTGTGTGTGTGCATGTGTGTGCGAGCTTGTGTGTGTCTGTGTGACGTGCATCAGTCTGTTTCTGGTGGTTGCTCCAGCGATGAGCTCGGGGCGGGGGGGGGGGCATTCTGGGGTTGAACCTGGGCTGTGGCTTGTGGTTCGTGTTTGGAAAGCAGCGTATGAATAAATACACACGCAGGATTTAACTCCAGAAACAATCTGTGTCTGCAAAAGAAATGCTCTTAGTTTGACTTTTCTCCTTAGGTTTTATTGTCAGGACATCCGAGCCTACGACATCCTGTTCGGAGACACGCCGCGGCCTGCCCAGGCGGAGGACCTGTACGAGGTCCTGGACTCCTTCACTGAGAAGTACGCGAGCGAAGGGCAGCGAACCAACGCCAGGAAGGCGGCCCGGGAACAGAGGCGGGCTTCGGCTCCGGTACCGTCGGCTTCTGCCTCTCGCAGCCCCGGGGGGCTTGTCCGTGTGGCCGGGTCTGTCCTGGGGAACAGGCCCCTCGCCGCCGCCGGCCCCCCCTCCCCCCGTAAAGTCGTTGACGTAAAGGCGTTGTGAAACGGTCCCTCAGGCTCCCACACGCCCTCTGTGCGGATTTCAAGGAGAAACCAGGCTGCTCTCCACAGCTGCCGTGCCCCGGGGGTAGAACCTGCCCCGCCCGTCACTGACTCGGACCTTAGCTGCTGGTCTGGGGCCTGGCAGTGCGGGGGGAGGGCCCCTAGTCCCCCACACACTTTCGGTCGCTCGTCCCGTCGCACCGAGTTTGAATTGTCACCGCCTGTCCCGCCACCACGTCCCTGTACCTGCAGACGCTGCCAGGGGTACCTGGACGAGGGGTGCTTCCCGTGACGAGGGCGCACCCCCACCCCCACCTGTGCGTGCGAGGCAGCTTCTCGAGCAGGTGCTGGGGCGGAGGCTGCCACACGTGCTCACGAGGAAAAGATGCCGTTTGCTCCTAAGCACGAACAGGGCTTTAAAATTACGTGCATTCCTTTGTTCCTCCCAGGCCACAGAATTGCCTCCAAAACCGTCGTCCAGACCTCCGCAACCCGCACAAGGCCAGCTGACCTCCGGCTCTCAGGGTACGTATTTTTGTTGCAATCCTAATGCAGTTATAATTAAACAGTTATTAAGTGTGATTGTTAAGAGAAGGAGCTACATTGTTAGGCTTTACGGTCGTCTGAAAGAGCTAATGGGTATTAGAGAAAAAAACGCTCAGCCTCTCCTAACTGCATAAGGCAGATTCTCGCTGCTACTTGTTAGAACTTCTAGCGCGTTCGATGCTCCTCCGGTTTGCAAAGAGGTTTGTCTTTAAAGTTTTTCTCCTCTGCCATTTCTCCCGAAGGCTGTTCCCCCACTGACGAGACACGGGAACAGAGTAAGCCTGCTTCCCTCGTGTACTCCTGGGTGTGTAGTTCTGGATACGGGTTCCGTCACGCGTCTTGGGAGCCCAGGACTCCGTGAGATGGCTTTCAAGTACATTCCCACTGCTCCCCTTGGGGCCCTCACCCCTCTTTCCGCCTCTCGTTTTTACCACGGTCACTCTCGGGAGGCCGCTTTTTGTGCGCCGAGGTCACCAGGGAGCGGTGGTTTATCGGAGCGGGTGAGGCGCCCCTGGGTGAGCAGCGGTGCTCGGAGGCACGTGTGTGCGGCCAGGAGGACAGGCGCACGTGTGTGCGGCAGTGGCCGAGGTCCCTGGAAAGAAGCCTGCTGTCCGGGGTCTGCTGTCCGGGGAGAGCCCGGGGTGAACCCGCCTCGGCAGGAGGCTTGTCCTGCGTCCCCGCCTGCTCCGCTCCAGCCCGGCTGCAGGTCCCCGTGCCCCTGGTTTCTGGCCGTGCCCTTAGCCCGCCCAAGTCCACCCTCCCAGGAGGGCACAGGGTGCCGCCGCCGGGGGTGGGGGTGGGTGACTTGAGAGATGCAACCTTCAGACCCCCGGCTGCCAGCGTCGTCCTGTCCTGGAGCTGGTGCAGCTGGGAACAGACAGGCTGTCCTCCCTGCCTTCCGTCCTTTTCCAGCAGTTGCCTTTCGTTTCACTCGAGTAAGAAAAACAAACCCAGATCATCGGAGGCACACTGTGCTGCTGCGTTGTCCCCCGGAAAGTGAGAACAGGGATCCAGTCTGGAGCGTGGATGCGGATGTAGTTAGCACACGGCTCTGATGAGCAGCGAATAGCTTTGTTAATCAGGGGGTTTCTGTCGTATAGTGTTATCATTAAACAGTATTGTATATTACATACTAATCGCTGCTTATTATTTTAAAAATCACATAGCTATCACCAAAACAAGTTATAATAGTAATATTATTTTATAAATAATACTTGATTATTGTTGTTTTGATGGTATATAACCATGATTTTTTTACCTCTATCTCCAAAGGGACATAAAATAATTGTTATATTGCTATAAAATACCTTCTACCTCTATTTAGTTTTTTTTTAACATTTTATTTATTTATTTTTAGAGAGGGGAAGGGAGGGAGAAAGAGAGGGAGAGAAACATCCATGTGTGGCTGCCTCTCACACGCCCTCTACTGGGGACCTGGCCTGCAACCCAGGCGTGTGCCCTGACTGGGAATTGAACCTATGACCCTTTGGTTCCCAAGCTGATACTCAATCCACTGAGCCACACCAGCCAGGGCTCTATCTAGTTTTTATAAGAATCAGCTTTCTTAGCACTTATACCTTTGGAAAAAGAGTTTGATGTTGAAACTGATGTTGAACTTATTTCTCATTGTAGAAATAAATAGTCATTCCATGAACATCAACTAATTTTGAAAGTCTCATTCATGTAATGATGTGCATTTCAAATACAGTTTTACTTTTGTTTAGTAAGTTAACAAATTTGTGACATATTTAAGATTTTGATCAATTGTGTACAAATGATTACAGTAATAACTTAATCTATAAGAAATTTAGTAGAGCCTTGTGTTTACTTAAAATAAAATTTAAAAAATAAGTGTCTATGCACATTTTTGTTGCAGAAACTGTTACATGGAAAATATAATATTTGTAGCATTTGAGATCTTGCTCCCAGCATCTGTCGTCAGTTTGGCTCAAATAAAGTCTCAGAAAATATAACATTAACATATTAATACGAAATCTTTGGAACAGATGGAATGAAACATGGTTTAAAGGTTACCAATGAATATTGCATACTTTCTCACTATTAAAAAAATCCTTGTTGATTTTCTTTAATGACTGATGGTGGGTTTCAGATCACTAAGATATTTAAAGTCTTTTATCCAAAAAATGAGATATGATTATTTCATTTAAATAATTGATAATGGCCCTGGCTGGTGTGGCTCAGTGGGTTGAGCACTGTCCTGGGAACTAAAGGGTCACTGGTTCAATTCCCAGTCAGGGCACATGCCTGGGTTGCAGGCCAGGTCCCCAGTAGAGGGCGTGTGAGAGGCAACCACACATGGATGTTTCTCTCCCTCTCTTTCTCCCTCCCTTCCCCTCTCTAAAAATAAATAAATAAAATCTTTTTAAAAAATTGATAATGATCCTTGCTAAAAAGTACACGCTTTACAAAATCTAATTTGTGTAAACATTTTTAGGTGTTGATTAAGAAATATACGAGTGGATACGTGCTGGTTAAAAATTATTTTAGGAGTTAAGCAAGCACGGAAGTTCAAAGGTCGCTGGCTTGGGGGCTACAGGCTCTCCCTCCTCGGGAACTTCCGATCACTTCCCTGAGAAGGTGTCTGCGTTCGCCGCAGGGCACGTGGCATCACGGGTGCAGCAGCTGCCTTGCACTGGTGTGTTTTCTGGGTTTATTCAGGCATTCCTTCCTGATAAAACCAGATAAAATAATGATATTTCCATCAGTTATAGGGTTGGAGATACTTGGTTGGCGAGGACGAGATTTGGCATTCTTAGGCACTTTATAAACTGACGCAAGCTCTAAATGTTCCCTCTTGCTTTCTTTGTTTCAGGAAACAGAAAGGAGCACAAGCTCTACCCTGAACTTCCCGGCTACCGCGAGAGGGTCGGTGAGTAAAATCATCTGTATCCTTCTTGTCATCACAGACCCTACTCCGGCAGGTTGTGCGACACCTCTTTGATTTTCAGGCTATCCATGTTATTTTGAGAAATACTTTATATTTTAAAAAATGCTACACTTTTCTTCTCATTCTTGCTTGAATTTGAGGCGGTGGGAGTGACGTGGAAGCCGCCACAGACAAAAGCCCAGAGCTGGGGCCTGGGCGCTGCTGGGCGGGGCCTCAGGCCTGCGGGGGCGTGGCCGGGCTGCGGGGGCGTGGCCGGGCTGGGACCGGCGGCGTCTGTCGCATGAGAAGTGCAGCCGCATCCTTACTGATTTTCTCCAGGTTTCAGCCCCACGAATATCTTTAATATCTTTAAGGACATTTTTATTTTTCAAGTTCAAATATTTTTACTGTTATGGGGAACAACTTCATAAAACTTACTCGGATTTCTTATGATAAAAATAGTCCTTTGATCAGTCTTACTTTAATATCCTTTAGAACATGTTCTCTGAAAGACCTCAGCAATTAGTTGGAGAGGTGAGTGGGACCCAGATCCAGAGCAAACGTTAAACAGTTGTTGAGTAGCCGATTTATTTTCCCACATGCCTGTTGTCACGGCTCCCAGAACCCCACCCTCTGGATTAACTGGTGGAGAATCATGTTTCATGTGAATAGAATATCAAGGAAACTAGATGCCCATCTTTTTAATTAATAAAAATATTCCAAAAATGTCTCTTAAGCCAAGCCCCCTGAACAGAAGTCACATCTTCCTGGTGGGTCACGGGTTCGGGCCCTTCTTGCTCACGGCCCAGGTGCTCTGGCTGGGCCCCAGCTCCGGGCCCTTTGCCCGGGTGACTCTCCCTGAGAGCCCCGGGGTGCAGCGTGGAGTTGGTCCCCCCACCCCACCATGCCCGATGGGGATGCTACAGACTCAGGCTCACTGAGAAAGCTCTGCAAGATCGAAAAGAACGTACTTAGCTCTTTGTGACTGAGCTTATCCTTTAGGAGCAAAAGAGGTGAGCACATAGATGTTTCTACCAAAGTGGCACATCTGGAGGTTCCGACTTTAAAGACTGTTGGGGTCGGACTTGGACTTGGGTGTCCTGAGTGAAAGGGGCCCGTCAGCCTGGGGAGGTCAGCCGACGGGAGGAGTCGCCGGGGTGAGGGCAGGTGCCGGCAGGGATACCGAGGGGAGGAGCCTGGTGGAGGGACGTGGGGACCGGACTCCTGTGCTCAGGGTTCTCTGAAGTCCGCACCCAGGCGCCAAGTAAATACTAGAAATGTCCCTGAAAGGCCCTGAGGGGAAGTGTTTGATCACAAGCAGCAGAACCAGAACAGGGCTCCGGAACAGGGCTCTGAAGGCAGAGAGTGGACCAGGGACCTGAGCACACGTGTTCTGCCCGCGGTTGGCTGGCTGGTGGCTTTTGTGTTTGTATCTGAGGGCCGCGCGAGTTCAGGTGTGCAAACCGCAGGAACTGGGCTAATGTTGATGGGAATTTATTGTAGTCCTTTCTCCAAAGATAAGGGATTTTGAAGGAAAAAGGGAAAACTTAGAGTGCATTTTAAAAGTAAACGTCACTTTGCAGTGCTGTGATTTGTGGAAAGCAGTGTTGAAAGCAGGTACACTCTGCCAGGACTTCCTCACGTCCTGGCCTGGCTGACCGCCCGTGGGGAGCAGGGCCGCAGCCCCAGCCCCGGCCCCAGGCCGACCACCAGGGAGGCCTCTCCTGCGCTTCTTCCGTTGTCGTGAGGGGGACGCACAGAAAGGACTGCAGCGCCATCCTGTGTGGCCGCCCATTCGGTGTTCCCGTCAATGGGGTTTCATCAAAGTGCTGACTAACACTTTGTTATTTCTCACTAACAGGCCAAGTTCAGTTATTTCTATTACAACACTACAGGATCAAATAAGGACCAATTTTAGAGCTGACTTGTTTTCAGTGCACCTGTGCTTAGGTGCAACTAACAAGCCTCGAACTGCATGGTTCCCTCGCAGTTGCATGGAACACAGAAATCGAATTCCGTGCAGCTGAGTGCACGGAATTATCTTTATATTTTCATGGTGCCACGCAGTTTACATTTAATGCCTTGTACTCATGTCAGCCCCTCAATTCTCAAAGTATTTTTCCTGATGTAATACATTAAATTCTACACATTGTGTTTAAGTTTCTGTTAGGCATACGTAGATATGCTTCTTGACATCATCATTTCCACATCATCTCGGTGCTGAGAGACAGGACTGACTTAGCACAGAGGTGGGAGTGGCCGTGCAGCCTGGGGGCTGAGGGCGGGGAGGGGGGTGCCGGTAAAACAGCACAACACACTCGTCTGAGCCAGAACCCCGGGCCGGCGGGCGCAGAGCGAACACAGTGCCTGTCGTTCTTCTGTGGCAGCTGTGAGTTACGGGGCCACCGTGACTCCGTGTTAAACTAAGAAAAATGCAAATAATAGTATCCCATGGGTCATTCACGAGTCAAACAGTAATAACCAGAAATATTTGCTAAATGCATGGCCAAGTGTATACTGGCACGCAGTTTGCACGCAGTGTGGCTGCTGTGCGTCCAGGAGGTGTTACCACCGAACACTTGCTCTCTGCCGGGAAGGAAGGCGTGAGCGACGACGAGGTCTGCTGGGCATCGGACGCCCCCGGCCGGGGGCACCGGGGGGGCGCCGGCACGTTTCACCCGCACATGCTCCCCGGTTTCCCGAGAAAGTGTGAATAACTCAGACACCTCTTCCTGTTTCAGGCGAGTCGGATCGGCCCATGGAAGTGACCGCGCTGTACTCTTTCCAAGGACAGCAGCCGGGGGATCTGAGCTTCCAAGCTGGAGACAGAATCACGGTCACGTCGAAGTCGGATTCGCACTTTGACTGGTGGGAGGGGGAGCTTCGCGGTCAGATCGGCATCTTCCCAGCCAACTACGTGACCATGAATTGAAGTTTGTTATTCTCTTCTCTGAGAGTTACAGAAAGTAATTATTTCCATGCTAACAGGATTGACCGTCCAGTTAAGCAGTGTTCAGTGTAAGTTTAGAAATTTGACAAGAATAAGCAATAGAAGGCATCCAGATTGGAAAGGACAGGCCTGTATCTTTATGTAAAGGAATTTGTTTTCTCATCTGTAAATAAATGATTAACTTACACATCTTTAAATGCTTTGTACTAATTTTATCACATATGCTATTTAATAGTTAAGATCCTCAGTTTATATGGCCACAGTCCTTTTGTGTTTATTTTCAAACATCTCTAAACTTTTGATTTGGCAATGTATATGGTAACTGTTTATTTTAATTTAAGAATCTTGAGGGTAGAGGCATGAATACCAATACATTTGTTTCAATTTGCAAAAAAAGAGAAAAAGAAATCAGTTTACATAGAGTAGCAGTAGTAATACTTAGAATTGTAGGTGTTACTGAGAATATGAATCCTTAAAAATTATCTTGTACCTTTAAAGATTATTTGTAGACACATATAGTAGAAATGTACTGTTACAGAGATGTTCGGCCACTATGCACTTAAAAAAGATGGTATCCACTAATTTTTTTCTTTATAAGGGTATGTTTGTTCATTTCTAGCAGTAGAATCAACTTACGTTGACATGGTTCATCTGTCCCTAAATAAACGGTCTTTAAATGTAAAGCTAATGTCTCGATTCTGTTTTTCTCGTGTTCTTTGTGTAAAGGAAGTGTGGGTCCCGTGGTTTGTCTGCAGGTTAAAACCCGCCTCTGCGATTGGGCTGCCCAGCTGTTTGTAAAGCTTCGTTAACGTATAATCAACAAATAAAAATGTAAACTATTTAACGGGTACAACATAACTTGACACACACATGCGCTGTGGAAGGGCTGGCACCGAGTCAACACACCCGTCCTCTCACATACCTGCCGTTTTTTTCCTGGCGAGAACTACTCTCTGCGCCATGCCAGTTGTGCAATACAGTGTTATCAGCCAGGGTTGCCATGCCCCACTGTCGCTCACCAGGACACGTTCCTGTGACAGCTGAAAGGTTTCACCCTTTGACCAGCACTTCCACCCCCTGCTCGGCCCTGGTGAGCACTGGTTGCTGCTTCTATGGGGTCATCTTCTTTCCTATTTCCACGTGAGCAAGGTCACACAGTGTCTGCCTTTCCCTGGCCGACTGCTTCGCTGCACACAATGTCCTCAGATTCATCCATGCTCTTGCGAATGCCAGGACTTCCTTTATTAAAGCTCAAAACAGTTCATGTGTAATGGAATTCTCTATCCACTCATCTGCTGGTGAGCTCTCAGGATTTTCTGTATGGTAAACAGAGATAACTTTACTTCTTCCTTTCTGATTTGGACGCTTCTTGTCCCTTATTCCTGCCCACTGCTCTGGCCAGGACCCCCAGGGCTGTGTGCACAGAAGAGGCCGGGGCGGCCCCTTGTCCGTTCCTGGTCTTAGAGGAAAAGCGTGTTATTTAATCCCCACATATTTGCGAATTTTCCAGGTTTTTTTCTTATAAATGATTTCTAGTTTCATACTACTGTGGTCAGAAACGATGCTTGATACAATTTCAATCTTCTTAAATCTATCGAGACTGGTTTTGTGGCCTAACCTGTGCCCTGTCCTGGAGAATGTTTCGTGTGCACCTGACAGGTAAGGACCCGACTGTTGTCATGGCCGCAAGTTTGGATGCCCGACTCCAACACGGCAGCCAAACGGTCACCTTCACAGCGGCGCCCTCACCTGCAATGCCTTGTCCTGCTGTGCTCTCTCCTCATTTACATCACACTCACATGCGTTAGCTTCTTCTGGAGCCGTCCTTAAGACAAGGAGAAAGGAGAGACGACAGAGCCAGATTAGCATCCCCCAGCAAAAAAAAAGTGCACAGCTTCTCGTCCTTTCCAAACTCTTCTCGGTTTCTCTCTCCTTCCAACTCAAAGGCGATCAGTGTCCTGAATGTGGTATTTCTTCTATCTCACTCTGTGTGTGTTTATTGTATATGTGTATTTTTCTAAGCAATATGTGGTATTGTCTTGCATGCTCATAAAGCTTACACAATAAACTGTTACACTTAGAAAAATTATTTTCATTTTTCAGTGAATTCATTCATTTGTAACAGAATTTATCATAAACAAACTGATGTATACATTCCAGGAATTAAAAGATCGGGTGGAGAATTTCAGCAGGGGGTTGACACTAAATGGAAAATTTGAGGTTGACGAACTGAGAAAACACTGCCTGGATCGAACAGCAACGAAACAGGCAAAGAGCAAGCCATCGCCCTGAAGGCGGACCAGACACGTGGGTCCGGCCTAACGACGGAGTTGGAAGCATTGGGGACACAGGGGAGACCCGCCCACCCGCCGCTGTCCTGACCACGCTGACCGGGTCCCAGGGTCTCCCGGTGCTTTGAACGCGGCGGGACCGTGCCTTTCCCGACCCCGCTCTGTCTGCAGCCTGCCCCGGCCACTCTTCCGACCTTCCCACGGGAGCTCCGGCACCACCCTGGCCTCCTCCAGAAAAGGAAGACAGTGTTTTCCAGTGAGAGTGTGTTCAACCCATACAGGAACGAAAGGACAATCCGCACGCTTACGACGCTCCGTGGGCAGCGCACGGACGAGGGGCGGCGGGGTCTGCGGTGACTGCGGAGAGCTGTGTCTGCGGCGTTGGGGCCGGCGGCCGCGGGGCCACGGATCTGCGCCTCGGCCAAGGTCCCGTCACAGGCCTGTCCGCGGAAACGACCGCGTGGAACAGCCCCCAGGGTCGCCTCTCTCTGTGCCAACAGTCTCTCTCCCGCAGCAAGTCCTTTCCCCGCGTGTCCGTCCCGCACTCCGTCCCCCGCGCGTGGTTCTCACCTCGGCTCCGTCGCGGCCCAGAAAAACGCTCCTCGGGGCCCTCACTTCACTTCTTGCTGTGTTTGGAGCATCTTGACGTGTTGCTGCATAATTAGCATCTTGTTTGGAATGTCGCGCAGCAGTTTAAAAGGTGAGCGTGCTTGGTTTTCTCACGTGAACCGATTACAGTCCACGTTGCAGTGAGCACCCTTGCTACCGCTTCACTCTCTCTCTCCGGATCGTTTTCTTCGGACGCATGTCCGTTTGCGCCTGGGTTTGAAGACGCGCCGTCGGAGATGAAGTACGTCTCACCCACCCACGTAGGTGCAGGGCTGGAGATAACAGGGTCTGAACCCTCCTCGGACTTGAGGCGGAGAAATCCGGGACACGCATCCCCCGTCCTGTCTCCTCCTCCGGCCTCCCTCCCTCTTCCCCGGCGCTCCGGAAAACACGCCCGGAAAACAGACACTTCAGTCTCCCTTCGGCCCCACGGGGCCTCCCAACGCCTCCCCGCGCCTCCGCCCGCCCGCCCGCTCCTTCCTCGCTGCTCCGACCTCAGGGCCCCTCCTGGCCCGGAGCCGAGCCCGCGGGGAGACTCCGCGAACGAGAGTGAGAAGGAATCCGCAGCGGACGGGGTCGGCGCCACGGCCGCCCCTACGGCGGAGCCCCGAGACCGCACGGTCGCCGGCCGCTCGCTGCGCCCCCAACCCCCGCCGGTGAGCGCCCCGGGCGGCCCCCACTGCGCTCAGAGCGCGCCTCCCGCCCGGTCGGGCGGCGCCCCGGGCCGCCCACGTGCCCCGAACCACCCTCGGCCGCTCGTGACCTGCTCCGCTCGGCTCCCACGTCTCGCCCCGCGGCTGTTCCCCTGTTCTTTCTGCGAACGGGGAGCGATGGGAAAGCTCGGGCCGCTGCGCGCCGACCTCCGCCGCTCACCTGGCGGGGCCGCAGCCGTCCGTCCGAGCGGCACCCGACCCCCGGCTCCTGCGGGAGGGACCCCCGCATCCCTCCCGGAGACAGATCCCCACCTCGCCTTCCGAGGCCGCCTCTCAGCGGCCCTGTCCCCCCGCGTGTCCCGGGGACCCAGGGGCCCTGGGAGGGACCCGAAAGCTCGGGCTGGTGACCGGGATGCTGTTCCCGCGGCTGCAACGCGCTCGGTCCGGATCAGAGGCGGGTCTGGGACCCGGAGCCTCGGCCCTCGGTTCCCTCCGCCCCCTCGTCTGAGGGCGAACCGGCTCCATCTCTTCCCCCGACGGAGCAGGGGACCCCGCCCCCAAGTAATCCCCGTTTTTCTCCGCTGGTAGCTCCCTCGCGCCGCCCGTTCCGTTATAAAATCCTCCCGTGTTTCACAGCCCCTTGGAGCGCCCTTCCGGTTCTCCCCTGGGGCGCTTCGCGTGAAGCCAATGAGGTCTTCACAGTGTCCGGGCTAATTTGGACTTGAAGACCCCCGGGGACGGGCGTTCCCCTTCAGCCAGTCAGGACGCGCCTGTTCCTGCGGCTCAGACTTCCAAGGAGGCTCGGCTCGTCCTTCCGCGCGCTCACCCGCCAACGTGAGAATGCTCGAGATGCTGGATTCCGCTCCGGGCGCCCCAGTGCGTCCTGCAGGGGCCGGGCCCCCGTGCAGGGCTCCCGCGCGGGGGTGTCAGACCCTGACCCGAAGCAAACGGTGTCAGGCAGCGGAGGGGGCTTGGTGGCCGGAGGGAGCGTCTCCGACCCGGAGCCCTTCAAGGGCCTGCAGCGGGGGCTCCAGCTGGCGCTCCTGAGGGGGGGGGCCGCGGGGCTGGCAGGGAGGAGGTGCGGGCGGTGGAGGAGCCTGAGAGCAGGGTCAGACGGAGTCTCAGCCCCAGGTCAGCGGTCCCTGGAGAAGCAGGTAGGGGCTGTCCCCCGCCCCCAGTGCGGCTGAGGGGGCGGAAGTTCAGGGGCCTGGGGCGAAGGGAACCTTAACCAGGCTTTGGCTGGCAAGCACGCTGTCCCATAGATGGGTGGGGACCCAGTAGTTCAGCCAGTCATTTACGGGACCAAAATCATTTATGGGATCTGGAGGGTCTGTGTGTGGCCGTGCGGCTGGTAAGCAGGGGCACCCAGGGCTCCTCTCCGTCTGTCGGAAGGTGTGCTCTGCAGCCGGCTCTTTCTTGAAACCCAAAGGGGAAGCCCGGCCTTCCTGGTTTCCCAGGGTCTCGAACTCGGACTGGGCCAAAGTTCAGCAGCAGTGGAAGGAATAATTTTTGTCCAGGATGGGTTTCCTCCTGCGTTCGACTCTGTATGGAGCTCTCTGTGCTACCGTTTTGCCGACTTCTTACTTCAGACCCTTTTGCCAACCGCAGGGCGTTCAGCCCGGGTGTGGGTGTCCGAGCTCTGGGGGGCGAGGCGTCCTTCCCCGCAGAAGGGAGGGCCCCCGTCCTCGGGCAGAAGGCCGGTTGTCTGGGGTCTAAACGGAAACGGCCCTTGGTTCTGCAGAATGCGGAGGCCTTAGCGAATCCACTACAACCTCCTGGGAAACCGAAGCTTAAGGATTTTGATCACTTCGTTTCCAGAACCGTGCGGTGCACGCCTGTGTGCGTGTACGCTGAGTTCAGTCTTACTGGTTTAGCGTGGGGAGATATCTTACTGCGTGAAAACAGCCTTATACCAACAAACCCTTCAAACGTGGTTGAAACGTAAACACCGGGACCCCACGGACCTCACCCAAGTGCCGCAGGCGCCTCGGAGCAGCCGGGGGCCGAGGGCTCCGGAAGGGACAGACCCCGGAGACTCCTCAGGCATCACACAACCCGAGGGACCTGTCGCTTCTACGGAGCACAACACACTTTGCTCTGCTGATTTCAGACGAGAGCCGCTGGGGACAC